AGAAAAAATGCTAATTATTGTTGCAGTGCCTGCTTTTGCTCTCACAAATGCCGACTGAAATTTCGGGAGAAAAACCGCCGGTTGAGCGCTCGTACGATGCGGTGAACGTGCTCCTTTATTTGCAGGTATGGATTACCTTTTGATATATGCATTAAGGCACTCAAATCCTATTTATTTTTAGATTTGCAACATTATGTGTGCAGAGTTCTCTGAGTGGTGGATTTGCTATTTGGGAACCTGCAATTCCACAACCGTATTTGCAGGTACAGATTAATTTACGAGAGCCGTCTCAAAATCGGCCGGATCGCACATTTTTAATATATAGTTTGGGTAAACAAGTGCCACTTTGAATTCTGATATATAACGACGCAATTATGCTACATATCTTTCAGGTTTTGAATCCCTCGGAACTGTTTGCTGACATAGTCGTCGAGCAAGAGTAAGATCTTAGCTCTCATTTCAAATAGAATTTTCGATATTAAAACCTGAGTTAACTTTTGTGCATGGTAATAGGCATGTTGAATGCACTGCTTCTATAGTCCAAGCTCTTATATCGTTCAAGCGAATGCATCCAGGCCATCGGGAGAAAGAAATCGAAAACTCTGTGGCAAGAGGAGTTAGCTTCCTCGAAGAAAGGCAATGGCATGATGGTTCATGGTGAGAGCTTTATTCTTTGATTTTTAATAAACTATACTATTATTAAATATGATGATATATAAAAATATTTGAATTTATGTAACTCGAAATACACGTACGTGCAGGTACGGCTACTGGGGTATTTGCTTCCTGTACGGTACATTCTTTACGCTCGGAGGATTAGCTGCAGCTGGCAAAACATACGAAAACTGCGAAGCCGTTAGGAAAGCCGTCAACTTTTTCTTGTCTTGGCAAAATGAAGAAGGTGGATGGGGAGAAAGCCTCGAGTCCTGCCCAAGCATGGTAATTATATTACTAACTCCCACTAATTATAGATTGAAAACCGATAAAATACTAACATTTGATGTTTTTTTTCGATGATAGAAATACACACCACTGGAAGGAAACCGCACAAATTTGGTGCAGACATCATGGGCAATGCTTGGTCTTATGTATGGTGGACAGGTTAGTTCGTCGATCTTTTTTTTCGTTCTTATAAAAAAAATAAAAAATAAAAAATAATGGAAATGTATTTAGCGATATTTCTGATAACTGCAGGCGGAGAGGGATCCGACGCCTCTGCATAAAGCAGCAAAATTGTTGATTAATGAGCAGATGAGTGATGGAGATTTCCCACAACAGGTAAACCATTTTTTTTAGCTTAATTTGTTCTGTTTCAAAAGAAACTCCTCTGTTTTTATCTTTTTAGATATCGAAAATTGGCAAGACTAATGATAAATAAATCAACTAACACAGGAAATAACCGGAGTGTACATGAAGAATTGCATGCTTCATTACGCGCAGTATCGGAATATATTCCCACTGTGGGCGCTGGGAGAGTATCGTAAACGAGTCTGGCCAAAAGTTATTCCCAAATCGATCTCAACACAACATTATTCCTCCCTAACTTACATATATATTTAATTGTAATTTCATAAGAAAAATGGGGTTATATATATATAATGTCATGAGTTGTTTGGAATGAATGAACCGGATTTAATTTAATTTACTTTGATCTAAACTAGTAAGAATATCTAAAAATGTGGTTCATTGTAAAGTAAAATTGCAAGTTGGCCGGGTAGTAAAAAAAACAAAAAATATCCCACGATGCCACAATTATTATTAACAATATATATAGCTAGCTAGATCGTCCTTCCTCCTACATATATATATGCACATGGAATTATAAGTACTAACCCGAAAGTGGAATAAACATATATAGTCGTTGATGCCAAAATATCCGCATAGGGCTCTTACTAAATCCTAAATTTAATAAATTTTATTCTACGAAAAACAGATAAAATAGTTTGGAGTTTATAAAATTTCATCAAAGAAAAACTTTATGATTATGATGAGATTAAGATTATACTACACGGATTTCACTTGATTTCCGGTGTTGCTGTCGCTGTATATACCGTTTTCTTGATTCTTCATTTCCGTGTGTTCACTGCTCTTTTGGCCACAAGGTAATTCTTTCGCCATATATATTTACTAGCTCTCCAGACCTAATTTGTTAAATCACGTGTGTGAAATTAGGACAATTTATAATTCTCAGCCTTTTTTAAGCAACAAAGCTGGCCCGATCTTTCAGATATGAATCTATCTGATTCAGAAGGGAAGAACTTGCATCAGTATCTCAATTCAAACATGGGTTTGATTCACACTCCATGTTCTGATAAATATTTACCATCCGAAAAGAGGAAAAAACGGAGTCTTTGTCTAAAGAAATGCTTTGAGAAAAGGCAGATGTATAGAACCTGTCAACGAAAAATCTCTCGAAATGTAATCTATTCCAAACATATATGCCATGCTTCCTTACTTCGACAGGGTACAAATATTTTCATCGGTCAATAAACTTTGTTTTCACATGCATGTATTGTCATGTCATGTCATGTCCCATCATAATATTATATTTTATTTTATTAAATTAAAATAATACAAATTGCAGCAATCAAGAACAGATGAAGACCCAAATTGCATGTATTGTCATGTCATGTCAAATGATTTTCTTTTTTTCTTTTTTTCTTTTTTTTGTCTTAACATATATCATTAATGTATCTGAAATGATTTACGCGGCAGTAAAATTACGAATGTCGTTCACAATACATTTCCTTTCTCTCTCTAAAAACTCCCCAATTCACTCAAACCCCAAAACCACAAAAAAAACCCCAAATTTCACAAAAATCCTAAATCCTTCTCACAATCCTTCCAAATCCGAAAATCTCCTCAATTTGAAAGGTAATTACTCATCTAAACTAGTTATATATATTGAATTTGTTGTTAATTATATGAAAATCGAAGAAAAATCGCGATTTGGGGGTCAATTTTGAATAAAAACTGCGCGTCTTCCACGCCCAAAATGGGAGTGTGAAAGCAGTTTTCACGCCTAAAACAGGCGTGGAAACTGCTTTCACACGTCTGTTTTGGGCGCGGAAAATTGGTTTGGGCGTTCGGTCCGGACGCCGGTTCTGGACCGGTCGTCCGGTTCAATTTTCTTTTTATCCCTGTATAAATGACATGCTATAATATATTTAAATAATTATCAGTTAATGAACTTGCTCTGGCCTAGTTGGTCAGGCATCTCGTTTTTTCGCAACAGACCCGTGTTCGAGCCTTTCCTGCAGCGTATATTTATTACTTTTTTGCGAAGTATAACGAAGTCTATAAATACAATTCAATAATAATTTGTTATCAAAATCGCTCTAGCCTTGTTGGTTAGGTAAGCCTGTGTTTCTAAAATAATGTCCTGTGTTCGAATCCTTGTGGCAACATAAATATGTAATTTTTTTTATTAAATCTCAGTCACAGAGCGCGCCCAAACCGGGCGCCGAAAGCTGTGTTGGGCGCCCAAATCGGGCGCGGATAACACTTTTACGCGCCCAAACCGGGCGTGAATCGGACTTTTTAGCTCCCAGTTTGGTCGTGGGTCGCGTTTTCACGATTTAAAGAACAAAAACGAACAAATTTTACCTCATTAGATTCCATATCTCGATCCTCATTCGATGCACTCATTTTTTTTTGCAAATGGCTACAGTAACATGAGTTTTGGAATGATTTCTAATATAAAAGCTAAAATTGTAGAGAGAGAAAGAAAGATAGAGAGTGGATTTTTTAAAACGACATTCGTAATTTTGCTACCGCGAATAGCACCTCCCTTAATGTATTTGCAAGTTTTGTATGAATATATGATTCCCTTTTTTTTTTTTTCTCTCTCCTCAATAGAATTGTGACATTTTTCGTGGTGGTACTCGGTGTGTGTCGTTTACGATGGGATTTTGACAAATTTCACGTAAATCGCGCTAGCGCGTGTTCAAAATTCACTTATGGAAATTTCGTGTTTTATTTTACTTACCTTTTATTGGTTGAGTGTAATGATTTCACCTGACGTTTTATGCCGTCGATGCCAGCAAACGACTGATTTTAAATTTTACGGCGTGTGTGGTGGCGCGGACGATTAAATATATTTATTAGCCACATTTGCTACTAATTTTTGAATCAAATAATTGCATGCAAAATTTTCATAATTAATATTTGATTTGGTAAAAAGTACACTGAGTGCGCTGAATAAAGGATTTAATTGAATGGATAAGTTTTTTTTTCTCTTTTTTAATTCAATCAAATTATTTCACAAAAGCTTAATCAAATAATTGACTCACCATAATATGAGAAATTATGGGTTTATTCCAATTAGTACCCATGTAGTATATCGAATTGCTAAAAGCCTACCCCATGTTATTTTATTAACACAAAACCCCCTAAATAGAGATACTAATAGCTAAAAAAAATTAGACCATAGGGGATTTTTGCAAATAAAATAACATATGGTATTCATTTAGCAATTCGATATAACAAAGATGTACTAATTGCAATAAACTCGAGAATAATTTCTAATGTACGTTTCAATCTTGGTATCTTTCGGTGAGTTTGGGCCTATGAATTTATCATCATTAATATTTAGGCCCAATATTGTATGGGAATTAGATTGGGATTCGGCCCCAGCCCAAATATGGCTCATATTTTTTTATTTTGGGTTTATTGCAATTAGTACCCCTGTATTATATCCAATTGCTGAAAAACCACCCCATATTATTTTATTAGCAAAAACTCCCCTATGTTTCAATTCTTTTAGCACACAAACCCTCTAAACAAGAGTCCATCAAAATTGGACATAAATTGCAAACAGAATCACAAGTTACAACTAATAACATATTAAAATACTTGAAAAGAAACAAATACTTCTACATTTATCATTTTATTTGATTTTATCTTATTCAATCAACCTCTAGCTTCAACCAAACTCAGTACTTCATTAGCTCCAAACAAGACATTTCCATATCTGGAAAAAGTGTATCAAGACAAGAGGAAATTAGTTTCAATAAAATGAGGTTATATACAGTTCAAGAAAGGTATATACAGAGTTACCTTAATCAATCTAGGCGCGCCTAAGTTTTCCGAAAAACACAATTGTAGTAACATAGAACCAATCTCCGACACGACCCCAGAAGTCAAAGTATGCAACTCTCCATGATCTCTTGATCAACAAAGAACCAACAAATCCCCAAAACCCAACAATAAAACCAAACACAATCGATATGCCAACCTCTTTCCAAAAAGATATTCTCATCAGAATAAAGCCACCTTCATCTTCATCGTCTTTGATCTCTTTGTTATTACGTTTCCCTTGATCGGTGGTGTCCGGGATGAGTTTGTCTCCCGGGCAAGACGAGAGAGGGGGCCCGCATAGTTTGGGATTCCCGGCATAGGAAGACTCATTGAAGCTCTGTAGTTGGGTACTTGATGGGATTTTGCCTGATAAATTGTTGTTCGCCAAATCAAGAACTGCCAGGGAATGCAGTTGCGCCATGCCGACGGGTATTGTGCCGGAGAGTTGGTTACTTGATAGATCAAGGACTTCTAACCTCTCCATTTGACCAATGCCGGGATTTATGTTTCCTGTCAAGCTGTTTCTCGACAGGTTTAAGGAAATTAATCCCTTGAGAGACGAAAATGTTTCAGGAATGTCTCCGACTAAATTATTGCTTGAGATATCAATCAGTTTAAGAAGTTGCAAACTTTTTCTATACTCAGCCTCTTGACCCTTCCACTGAACAAATGCATAGTCAATGTAGTTTCCAGGATTAAATCCGTCCGCAAAACTTAAACCTCCTTGGCTACCCAGATAGATCTTAAAAGGCCTATTGACAGTAGTCCCCTTGTCGAGCATTGTACTAAAATT